GAACAACTGCTCTAATAATAAAGTTCTCTTGAAATTTCTGTTGACTCACTGATGTTGGGGTCTTTCTTGTGCTTGTTGAAAACAATTTCTGACAATGTTTTCTTGCCTGTTTTTATTTTAAGATCGTGCTATGATGCATTTACAGAAAATATGGCAGGGGAGAGTCAGCTGCTGGAGAAGAGGAGGCAGTATCACTGTGCAGCATATAATTGTGCCATTGCTGTTATCAGCTGTGTCTTCACGGAGAGTAAATTTTATCACGGCTTTCTCTTTACAGAAAAAACAGAAAAGGTGGGAAGATATTGTTGCTGATATAAGGCTTTCAGAGCATGGCATTGATTTTACTTAATTGCCATAAATCCAAGAACCAACCTGAGTGGGATACAACTATATGATGAACTACCCAAACAGTCAGTTGGAGGAACAGTAGCTTGGATCTTCTATGACGTTTGAGTTGTAGATGAAAGCTGTAACATCTGTTTGGGAATGGGTGAAGGAAACACAAGCCCTGTTTTTCTTCTATTCTTAATCACGCTCCTTAAAATACAAGGAAGCACCTGTTATCCGAGTCCTCCAGTGCTCAGAATATACTTGAATATGAGATACCCTTTTTGCAGAATACATTGCCTGTGCTTTCAATTCTTGTGTAGTTATGTTAAAAAAAAAATCATCTGAAACATCAGACATGCCTTATTTTCCGTATTGTGCTTTTGAACTGCTGTATTTTGAAAAAAGAAACTATAAATATTTTGAACATATTGAACAAAAGAATAGCAGTTAGTGTGTGCAGCATTATAATTTGGTATTACCAAATGTGCTTTGATTTGCAGAACTTGCTGATTTTTGAAAACTTGATAGACGTGAAGCATCAGTATTCATTTCCTGTAGAAATTGAGGTAAGTGTGAGTTCTGAGTTTTAGAGCAGCTAAGTGAAAAATTAGTACAACTTCAATAATGTACTATGTTTTGGGCACTTCTCATGGGCAGAAAAAGAGAATTCTGTAGTGAGTTAAAAACTGGAGTATTCTTCTAATGTTTTAGAATCCTTTTTTTTGAGGGAAACCCAGACATGAGATTCAGAGCACAATTGCAATATACACAACTCTAATATAATGTTTAGCACACTTACTCTGGTAATGAATGGCTGTAAGTTATTGGACTTATGTTTTATGAATAATAATAACCACTTCTAGCATGATTAACATTCATGTTCAATGGTTTTTACCATTTGGAACAATTTTAAAATGTTACACCATAAATAAACTGTACTTTTCAAACATTATTTCTTGCTCTTGTTTAGGTGCCTTTGGAAAGGAAGACGCGGTATATTGCCATTAGGAAGGAAGCCAGGGATGCAGGGAATGGGAATCAAGGTATGATATTCATTTGTGACTGTGAAAAAAAAATATTCTCGCCTTTCCTACAGTGTTTGTTGATTTGCAGATAGTTGACTTCTACACTACCAGGAACAAATAAAAGCATTCACTGTACATTGTCTAACAAAGTACAATGCTTGCTACATACCTCAAGTCTCAGTGATCAATAAAGAGCTGTTTCTTTAGAATTATCTTGATTAATAGTCTGTTCTTTTCCCTATTTAGATGAGCCCAAGTATTTACCTTCTGCATCATACATGATGGATAGCAGTTTGAGTGAGGAAATGAGCCAGTTTGACTTTTCTACTGGAGTCCAAGGGTTTTCTTATAGCTCCCAAGATGTTACAGCTAGCAGTGCTCGTTTCAGGAAAAAGGTAATTTAATGAATTACATGCTGTGAGGAAGCTGAGTTTTATCCTTTCTAGCATAAATTGCATATGTTTACTGGGGCTGAGAAACAGAGATTTCAAAGGTATTTCATGCTGAGGAATAGAAAAGCTACATTGACAATAAGGTGGAATACAGCTGCTTTCCAAATCAATGTGTTCATGATGGTGGGATTTCTGAAGAGGAATCCCACCATCTAAGAGGAAAAGCCTTTGTTGGATCTGTCAATATCCACCCTCAAATATTTTTCCAGAAATAAATTAAGAAGACTAATCGTTGTTAGTCTTGCTGGATTTGCTCTTCAACTGTTTCTAATAAATGTATCAAAAGACAAAGAAAAGATATTCTGTAGTCACCTACTGAAATATTAATTCTGCCAAATTTTAAAGGTGCCTAGGTTAAAACTTGTCTCCCATATTCATTTTACTTGATGGAGAAGGGATACTCCAGGTGAGTGAGAGGATTTAAGTGTTTTTTTATTCAGTCCTCTCTGCTGACTACTCAACAAGCTGAAGAGAAACACTGTCCTACCTTAGCTTTCAAGAACTGAGTGATGTGAGTGCAGTTTAGTTACTGCAAACATTCTTAAAATGAGGTGTGACTTGAAGATTAAAGAGCAACCCAACGCTGTGCTTTGTGTGCACTCATGAGGGAGCCTCTCGTGATGGTTGTGTCTTGCTCTTAGGCTCAGTTTCCTCCCTTCCCTCTTCTAAAGTACTTCAGCAAACTGGTTGTATCAAACACATGGAATAAATTATCCAACTTTTTTTTCGATTATGACATCTTGTCTTTATCGCTGCTGTACAAAGAGCAGCATTTAAAGTTTCGAAGATTTGCAGTTGTGTTCTTTCTGTCAAGAGAGGTCGCACCAAAAGTAATAAAGAATGCGTACTTGCAATAAAACAGAAACCTTGCAAAAAGTATCATAGATACTGAAGATGAAATCTGTCAAAATATTTGTAGAAGCATTGGATAAGATAAACTGTTTCCATGTTTAGCAGCAAGGAAGTATTTCATTGCAGTGAAGTTAGCCAGAACTGTTCTGTTTGCTTTGTGTAATAATGTGCTTTCTAAATGAAAAACCATTATTTTCTCTACTCTGTGCATGTAAAGATTGCTAGGGAGGGGGAAATAACTTGTCCATAAAAATTGGATTTTGTGTAAAATCCTGGCTAAAATTGGAAGTTGGGAGTTGTGTCGTAATTAAATTGCATTGCAGAAAATGTTGGCACGTTCTTTCAGCTATGAAATGAAATCTTTTCCATGAGCTTCAGCTAACTCTTCCTCTTTGCACTAGTTACTCCCTGCAAGGTTAGGGGGGGCAGAGTGAAAACGAAGTGCAGTTGGTATCTGTTGGCAAAGAAAGTAAAAGCTAGGCACAACTGGTGTGTATATTTGGGATCTTGAACAACAGATCTGATTTTGAGCAATCAAAGCAGAGATAAGTTTTTAAACAGAGATGAAATCAGCACGACACATGGCATTACCTTGATGCAGAAGAAAGTGCAGTGTGTGTATTTAGTTAATCACAATATTTTTCAGGAGCCCACAGAATACATGGCTTTAGATGACGAGACGGAACTGGAAATGGATGAGCTCAACCAGCATGAATGTATGGCTTCTATGACCACTCTGATTAAACATATGCAGAGAAACCAGATCACACCCAGAGTGGAGGAGGTCAGTGTTAACCAAAGGATTGCTCATGTTCACTCCTTGAACCAAAAAGGGAAATTACAATGAAATGCCTTTGTTTTGTATGGCTATATATAAAAAACTGACTATATTCTAATGAAACTTGGATGATAAGCCTGTTTAATTCTAGTAGTAAGGTTTTTTTTTGCTTTTTTTCGTTTTTATTTCAGGGAACAGTTCCAGTAGACCTTCCTCTTTGGATGAAATTTCTGCATGGCAAGTTAGGAAACCCATCAGTACCACTGAACATTCGCCTCTTCATTGCAAAACTTATTGTTAACACTGAAGATGTGAGTGATTTCTGTCATGTTCTTTCAATTAAAATAATAGGTTGTATTATAACTTAAACTGTGAAGGTGTTCTGTGGTGAAATATTTCAGCAGCTGAAACTTTGGGGAGTTGAACTTTGGTACATTGTCTTGATAAAAGACAGTGCCTTCATAATACAAAGGTCCACCTAAAAGCAACATTTTGAGTGTAGTGGAGCACTTTTTCTCCCCAACTCTGCTTCTCTAACACTGTGTCCACAATGTATGACTTCTGTAAATTACAAGTGACTGATTTCTTGCTACTGGGCAAGTAGTATAACTCATTACATGTGCCATGTTAGCAAGATCACATACAACGCGTCTTTTAATGGTCAACGGGTGACACTAATGGAACACCTTACAGCTATGTGGTGCTCTCATTGAAGGTATGAGATAGTGTGTGGTATCTTTGGCTGTGAAGAACCATTTCATAACTCTTATTCTTGGGTAAAACATTCTTGTCCTATTTCAGCCAGTGGTTTTGAAGTGTAATGTTTCTGCTTGCAGTATTCCATATCTAGAATATAGAAAAGCTGCATTTGAGAATAAATTCAGAAATCTTTAACGCCAGTTTAATGCTACATTTTCAGTAGAATTCTCTTGAAGCAGAAATCTAAAAGGGTAGAAAAAACGACATGTTCTTTCAAGTACTACAAGCGATTTGATGCATGAAAAGCTCTTATAAATCTGTGCTACATGGGCTGTAGTGAAATGAGTGAAATAATTCACTTAATGTAAATACTTGCTTGAAGAGTTCTAAGCAGCAGTGAGGAATGCAGATATGGAGGCTTTTATTTTAAAATTACTTTTAAATTTCTGTGGTTATTCACTTTGGACTGGGTTAAGGAAAGTGGTAGCAGTTGAGTTAAAAATTATGGAAAGCAGGTTATTGATTATTAGGTTAATTTGTAGTTGACTGCTGATTATCCGTTTTGCACAGGTTTTCCGACCTTACGCTAAGCAGTGGCTTGGTCCATTGCTGCAGCTTGTTGTTTCTGGGAATAATGGAGGTGAAGGAATTCATTACATGGTAGTGGAAATAGTAGTTACTCTCCTCTCCTGGACAAGCGTGGCCACACCCAAAGTAAGGAAATGTGAAATTAATTTTTATTCTAGTGACTATTTGGTAAGGAATGAGTTTGATTTAATGCATGCAGAATAATTTTCTACATTAGCAGTTTCTTTTAGCTATTAACTTCTAAAAATAGTGTATTTACTTGTGCGCTTTCATAAAATAGAATATATGAGTTTATTTTGGAGTCATAATATTTT